CAGCGGAAGGTTTTGGCCTCTGGCTAAACCAGAGACAAAATGTAGGTAAATAGGTACAGTCGCAGGATACAAGCAGGGTACAGAGTTCTCCATAACCCTTAGCAGAGTAGAGTCACCAGAGAGTTGATCCGAGGCACGAGATTGGGAGCAAGGAAACTTCGTTTCAGGATATCCGGTACCCATCCTCAAAATACACCCTGCAGCCACCCTGGGTTGCATCTGGTCAGATGTGACCAGCCCTGTGTCACTGGTTCCTCAGAAACTCCCCATGACCGCAGCCATCAGCAGCTTTTTCTCCCCAAAGCCCACACAATGTGTTTGAAAGGGTTAACACATCTGAATCCTCAGCTACAGCATTCTGTGCTCTCAGCTTTCCCCCGAAGGAGTAAGGCTAATAAATACCACAGTCATTCCCTTTCTTTGGGGCATTTATTTATTTATTTACCACAGATCTGCTTTTCTTTTTGGTGGTTTCCTGAACTCAATATTTTGAGTTAAGTCATTCCAAGATATCCCAGACACAGATCAGTTGTAACCACCCTTGGGTGCTTTATCATGTTGCATATTGAGCAGAGCCCTCTTTCCTCACACTAACAGGGGGATCTGGGGGCTGGTCCCCCCTGTCCCTCCTCCCCACTCTCCCCATGTCACTGCAGGCAGAGGAGGACACTGAGCCGAGATGTGAGTACTGCGGCAGCCTCCTGAGGCCGTTCCCGTTCCCCTTCCCCGAGGATGTCCCTGTCCTTGAGGATGTCCCTTCCCCGGAGGATGTCCCTTTCTCCAAGGACTTGGAATACGTAAGCTGGGGGAAGGACGAGCAGGGATTTGCTGTGGAACAGCTGCACTCAAGGCTCCGCTCTTCCACCTTGCAGAGATTCTGCTGCAAGCGCCACCGAGACCTCTACGAGTTCATCCTGGAGGAGAGGAAGAGGCTCAAGGATGCCTGCAGCATTCCCAGAGCTGTCAGCACCCATGAATACCAGGGCTCCGAAGCCCATCAGCTGCAGTCAAAGGAGCAAGAGAACCAGAGGTACTGGGAGAACTGGGGATCAGGTATAAGGAACAACAGGCAACTCCTAGGGAAAAGGAGCATTAAGAAACTGCAGGGAGAGGGAATGAAAGAAGAAAAACCTTTGTTTCAGGCACCACAAGTTCGAATTCTCTCCAGTCCCCCCTGACTCCTCTGTCGCCGGACTGCACAAGGAGGAGACAAGGTACGTGCTGAGTGAAGTGCTAATTCCTGTGCTGACAGATGAGATATCTAGAGACAGACGGAGACAAGAACACAGACACAGCTCTGGGAAGGGACAGCATTTGGGTGTAGCTTTTACCTCAGGCACTGAAACAAAGCTGGAGTTTTTATTTCTGTTTTGCTCCATAAACTCTGGCATATGTTTGGATTCCAGTT